GTACAATTTACAACCCTACTGCCTTGCATCAAGATCGAATTTTAATCCAAAAGTAAACGTTGCCTACCAAAATCCTCGCGTTTAGACGTAATTTGTAGATTTTATACTGTAACTGCTCGACAATAAGAACTATTATCAATTGTACGGGAATAGCTTTGGGCAGCATAATAAATTAGTTTTCTTTTGTCTTCAGTATTTACGTAAGAATACGTCAGAATGACATTTGCAGACGTAAATTAAAATTTCGGAAAGGGAAACCTTTCTTTGCTTTTTAGAGTTTTACAAGAATTTAAGCAATACAGTTTTACAATAATATAGTTTGTGCTTGACGGTGACAGTTCCAAAGCTCCTACTATTTTACTAAATATTTTTGCAGATAAGAACGTTGCATGACTATTTATATCAGGCGCTGTTTTATGCCGTCTGAGAATTTACAATTTAGCGATATTATAAAGAGGAAAGATTTAATTTTTGTATGTATTCGATGCACGTAAAAAGTACTGGGATGATTTGAAAAATTATCTTACCATTAGAAAGGTAATTTGTCTTATATGTATATATCTTTTTCATTTCATTCGGACGAAGTCACGAGTCACAGCAAGTGCAATTTGAGATGAAATGTTCTGTTTTAAATAAAGTTAACAGATCGTTAGTTAAGTTAGAATCTCACGTTATAAAGTACTTCTATTTGGTAAATATTTAACTTGACAAAACATTATCAGACGATGATTTTTTTTTGTAAAATCATGATGATGATGATGACGTGTCAAGTGACACCAAAGAGGTGCAGTGAGGTGAAGGTGAAGAAAGATTTTTCGATTCAAACAAAGCCGCGGCCCCCGGTTAGTCATCACTTAAATCTATTTAATCTTATCTAAAAAATAATCATACCTTGGAAATATGACTATACGTACTTTAACAAAAACTTTATCACTTCCGTTTTAATTCATCGTTTGGGTACAATTTTGTTAAAAGTACTTCATCTTTCCGATTAATATCTACACTACATTTCTTTCTTTAAAATAATCTATCACTATTGTGTTTAAAAGCACACACAGGGAGGAGTGGCGGGGGCTTGTAAAGCTGGTCACTGATATTTCATAACCACGACGAATCTGTAAAGACTCTAGCAACGAAGAATAAGAAAAAGATTGTGTTTCCACTGCCGAAACATCATTTAAAAACATCATCATCTCCCTTGCCTTATCCGACTCCCGTAGGGTCGCCGCACCGGATTTTCATCCTCCAAAGCACTCTATCAATGCGTCATCTCAGTCATTACTCCCTTCTTGATCATGTCACCTTTCACGCAATCCATCCATCTCTTTCTACCTCCACCGATGTACCCCTCCACATTCATAACCAACGTCCATTTTGTTACATACGATTCATCCCTTCCCATAACATGCCCATACCACTCTAACCTTTTACTCCTTATTTTCTTAACCACTGGGGCTACTCTCAAATTTCCTCTAATATACTCATTTCGAATTGTATCCAATCGTGTTACCCCACACATCCATCTTAATTTTCGCATTTCCGCCACATGTATTCTCCTTTCATCCGCCCCTTTTACTGCCCAACATTCAGATCCATACATCATGACAGGTCTTACGACGGTTTTGTAAATTTTCTCCTTTATTTTTTATGTTTATCTTAATGTTGTGTAGGGAAATGAATTATAAAAAGGTGTACATTCATACGAGTTAATGAAGGATTTAGTATTTCCAGCAAAAACTTTCATATTGACCATATTACACGATATTATAAACATTTGCTCAAAAATTCAAATTGCATATTTGTACGAAGAGAGGTACTTACCTTGATATATTTAACCAAACCGCAGACGCACACCGGTTTACAAACATGTGCTGGTAATATACGACTCATAGTAATTAATATAACACTTTAAACCCACAAAAAATATAAATGCACAGCTATAGGCAAACACAAGACAGAGTTTCAATAAAACTGTTTAACAGTTCAAGTCATGCGCATCACTGAAGCAAACATCTGAGTCGTGCATTCAGAAATGCATGTTTATCTCAATATGTCTTTACCTCTTGCAAAACAACCAATCCATGATGAACTTTCCACTTCTACCATATCTCTCATAGTGATACTTCTCGAGAGCACAAGCACACGAGGATCAAAATATACTGGTACACAATAAAACTAAGAAACCCTGCACATTTGCGGCAGGAATCGGGGTTAATGTAATCGGTTTATTGGATGCTGACCAAATCTCGTAAGTTCTGGTAAACCCCTTCCATTTATTCCTCACTTTTATTTACTTTGTATTGTAACAATAGTTCGTAACCTTTAATTGCATAACGCAGAATTATTGAGGCGATAATTAAGTGTTTATATTAAAAGTTAATTTCAGAATACTGAAAAGGACTTTATATGATTCGCGTCGTAAGTGTAGTACCAATAGTATAAATTACACTTCCGATACACTTTTATTAAAAACAAGTGTCGCCTGCAATTCATCAACGCAGAATAAAAAGAAAACACAAGTCAAATACTCCATAACATGCATAGATATGAATTAAAATTGTAATGTATTTTTTTGTTTTCTTTGTGTAAAAGAATTATAATGAAGTATTGGGGAAGGAATTGGCTCCTCTGACACAGGGCAACCTACTACAGGAGCCAAGACTTTCATGAAATGTATGCAAGAGATAATAAGTGAATTATTATTATTAAAATTAATGCTTCTAAAAACAAAAGTGATTATGCGACAACCCTCAAAGATACATAAGCCCTTAGCATAGGGTTTTATTTTCTTTATTTTAACTGTAAAATGTACAGATAGAACACACATGTTGTACGTAGTACTTATAACCTCCATGCAAAAATGTCATAGATTAAATATCGTCACTAAAAATTAACTCATGGGTCAGAAACAAACTCCTCAATTTCCTAATATAAGATACTAGCTGTTGCTCGCGACTTCGCCCGCGTGAAATTACAAATATAACCTATAACGTTCTGCCTTTTTTTCAACCTATTACCAAAAGTATTAGCTTAGTAGTAATCTACATAATAACAGAAATCTACCGATGCAAGATTCCAAATTTCTAAGCCCGGTAACTTGATTTTTCGGTTACCCTTATTGTTTGTGTTCGCGATATCTTCTAAACTATTAGTCCAATTTAAATACTGTTAAGGACAATTTTATTCTACATTAAATTCTTCTGATAACAAACGCATTTTTTTGGATAAGGATTAATATTGAAACCAATAAAAGAACGCTGTAAATAGCGTGAGGTTTTTAATTTTGTAAACCGCTATCGCGGACTTTTCTGTAGGACTTTTTGAGATCTACAATTCTTTCGTACATCATTTTTATATACCTGTAACGGTTTAGGCAGCGTAGGCCGAGAAAAGTTAAAGTTTAGTGAATTTTTAAAGAAGCGTCCAGAAACACGCTGTTTATTAATAGTTCCTAAACATTAGTAATAATAAAATATAGTCTATGTTACTCACAGATAAATTACCTTTCTGATGGTGAAAGAATTTTTAAAATCGGCCCAATAGTTTTTGAGTTATTTCAACACTTTTTTATAATATTAGTATAGACATAGATAATATGGATGTGGGAATGTTTATAGAAAGTGATAAGATATCTTAGTGTAGAAGTAAATGTATATGAACTTGTGAGCGGAGATTTCTTGTGCTTATATATTTTCTACTAGCTATTGCTCGCGACTTCGCCCGCGTGGAATTTAAAAATATAGCCTATGTTACTCATGGATAAATTACCTTTCGAATGCTGAAAGAATTTTTGAAACCGCCTCAGCACATGATCGAATGTTACATTGTCTAAAAGGGCAGGATTTTGACTTGAACTCTTCGGCCTTCTCTGTATATTTATAGCAATACTAGCTTACGCCAGCGACACCGTCCGCGTGGAAAAAACTTCACTTCGTTCAGACTTTATTCTACATCTATGCCTAATCGAGAGCCGTTAAGTTTAAAAACTCTAACTAACATCCATCTAAACGTTCGCATTTATAATATTAGTGAGAAGAAAGAATAAAAATTGAAATACATTAGAAGAATACTACGACTTTAACCTGAATATCTTTTTCATCATCTTTTTTATCATCTTTTATAGAATTTAGTAAAACATATCTAAATAACGTAATGAGAAAGGGTCTAAAACTAATAAAAGTATGATTCTTACCTCACAAGCCCAGAGTTTACCTTTTTTACAATAAAAGAGGAACAAACGAGCAGTAATCACCTAATTATATGACGTCATCCAAGCTAGTTCTATTTCAAAGGTAGTCACAGAAATCTGCAGGGATGGTTGTGTAAAATCAGGCACAAATCTTTTCGATTTTTATTCTTATAGAAGTCGGAATCGATAGATTCATAGTTATAACTTATGAATAAAAAAAACACTGTTCTCAAATTAATAATGACCTGCAGAACCACTATTACATTTTGTGAGAGTAAATAAATATTTATTACTACTACAGCCGTACGTAATCGAATTGGATTTTGCTATTAATATTGTCATCGCTAAATTCTTTACACTATAATCAATACTAGAATTGTCCTCTAAATTAGTTAATAAGAAAATAATAATATTAGTTAAGTTCAATAAATTTTATAAAAACCGAATATCAATAATTCATAATTATTCGCTATGCGCGTTTGTTTCGTCACTACGATACCTGTCTATTAAGTAAGGCAATTACCTTCATACAAATTTAATTCGATACTTCATATGCGACATTTATCAAACTAATCTATCTTGTTTAGACAAACTATAAGCCCTTTAAATATAAAGCTGGTTTTAGCAAGAAACTGGTAACATCATAAAAGTTGTGCAATACTCGTATATGACAAACGGACAAAATATTCTTGTTATTTTATTTAATATTTACAACAATCATACACTTATCGTTTTAAGTGTGGATCGGTGACCTCATTGATACGATTTTATCGATAAAAAATCAACTCGATAATGCAAAGGTACAGCACTTTTGAGTCATTACACCGGCGTATGCCGCGCGCGACGCTCGCCTTTCGTGTTGCGTCAGTCGACCTTGAAAATGTTATTCTATGTAATAGTGTGTATTTTCGCATTTGCTCATGCTCAAGAGCAAGATAGTCCATCGGTGAACACAACTCAAGGATGGATACAGGGCTCGTTGGCAACTGATGGCAACTACCACGTCTTTTATGGAATACATTACGCTGGTTTCGTATCAGGAGGAAACAGGTTTAAGGTAATTATATACCTACATATAGTTTTGAGTGCAACTTTTATAACGTCAAAAGTAAATCCAATGATTTATCGCAAAATTGTTTATTTTAGTAATTTGATACTAAAGATAGTGATGTATTCAGTTATATAAGTATGAAAATAGCATATGTAGTTTTATCAAATTCTATATTTGCAGATTACGTTCGAGTTAATACTGACTCAAATTGAAGATTATAACTATTTTAAAGAGAAATATTTGTACTTAATGATTAGATAAGCAAAGTGTTTTGGTTACTCCATAACCAGTTAGTGCTGTAGTTCGAAGAAACAATACACTGTGATTGTTTATTAGTAAGGTTGTCCTAAGTCGACGAATATAAACTGACCCTTTGACAACTTAGAAGGCAGTTTTATCATGTTTTATGTTAATATTTATGTATCTAATTAAAGTATTTTCAACGTGTTATGGAGTAGCGATGATTAGGAAGGGGAAATATAATATTACTCAGAGAAAGATTTCTGTACCACTCCTCTGTCGATTAAATGTAGACAATGCATATTCTTTTGTGGATGATGTATCAAGGAAGTTGGTGAAAACAGTGACGCTATTTTCATTTGTTTTTTCACTTTTTTTGCTATATTTTACTTAAACATAAGTGTTATTATCACCAACATTTATAATTCATTAATTATTTCCAGGCGCCGCCTCCTCCGCCCACATATCCCGGGGTCTTCCACGCAATCAACAGCGGTGTGATATGCGCTCATCCCACATCGCGAGGCATCGTCGGCGTCGAGGACTGCCTGACTCTCAGTATCCACACTGCTAACCTAACTGCCTCTCAGCCGGTGCTGGTGTGGCTGCAAGGCGAAGAGTATACTACTACTGACACTACGCTACGTTCCTTCAAGAACTTTGTAGACAGAAATGTTGTGGTGGTAAACGTAAACTATCGTCTATCGATCTTTGGATTCTTATGTCTTGGAGTACCAGAAGCACCGGGAAACGCCGGTCTTAAAGATGTTGTTCAAGCGTTGAAATGGATAAAAGCAAACATTGCAGGATTTGGTGGAGATCCTAATAATATCGCTCTCTTTGGTCATGGATCGGGCGCAGCGATGGTTGATATCCTTACTCTATCACCTTCTGCAGAAACACTACTACATAAAGCGATCACTCAAAGTGGATCTGCATTGTCCCCCGGTGCTATCGCGTATAAACCTATTGAATATGCTGAAGCATTTGGTGCTAAATTTGGGTACACAGGAAAATCAAGAGAAGAATTAGCAAGACTACTGACAACAACAGATATAACATTATTAGCCACAGCTCTCACTGAGTTTGAATTCTTCAACAACACAGCTTTGTTCGCTCCCTGTATCGAGAATAATGTCGATAGTAACAACACAATAATATCTGATGCGCCAATTGACATAATCCGTTCTGGTAACTACAGTCATATACCTTTTCTGGCTGGATACACAAACAAAGAAGGAACGTTAAGAGCTCAAGAAGCAGCTTACAGTCAATGGTTGGATAAGATGCAGGCAAATTTCGATGACTTTATCCAAGTAGATTTAGATATTGCGACAAATTCAAACAAGACTGCTATTGTTAAATCAATACGGGAGTACTATTTTGCACAGCGTATAATTAATATGGAAACTATTGAAGATTATTTAGATTACCATGGTGATACAATGATCCTAGTGTCAACTATTAGAGGCGTGAGGGAGAGAGCACTAACATCCAGAGCTGAAGTATACCTTTACGAGTTTGCGTATAGGGGAACATTAAATTCCGATTGGGCTTTACCGCAGATACCACTGACTGGTGTGAGGCACGGAGGAGTTTTAAACTATCTGTTGAATTACGATTTAACACCGAGAGATGCACATGTTATGGAAGCGATTATGAGACGTTACATATTATTCCTTAATAATGGGTAAGTATTTCTTTTTATTTAAATGATACATTGTAATACTATATAATGTGATATTTGATGGTTTCAAAAGAATTGTGTGTACAAGTGTCAATTTCTTTTCCAGGAGTCCCGCTTCCCCGGAGATAGTACTATGGGAACCTGTAACAAGTTCTCGCTTGACATATTTATTACTTAGTGGCGGTGAGGTATCAACAAACGTGACAATCACCAATGAACATCAGGGATTCGATCCTCATCAGCAAAGAATGACATTCTGGAATGATAATTATGCCAGGTTATATAAAGCGCCATCTCAAGTCTCTTCGGCGACAAAACTCATGAGTTTAGTATTCACGGTTGGTCTATTACAATGGCTGTTAACTGTATTTTAAAAAGAGACTATATTAGCCGTGCGTAGGTTTCCCGATGAGTCTGCCACAACCTCTGATCACGTCCCATGCTCGTCTGCTGGGTAGCGTCAGTGACACGTGACGTCATAAGTCCATCGGCAAAGCTGTGCATGAGTACTTATTTGATATTTTACTTTGTTGATCAGTAATTATTGATTAGTTTTAGTTATCAATGTTTGTTGATTTAAGTATTATTATTATTTAGATTATAAAAATTCCGATTTAGTATTAGTATAGTGTGATTTTGATTTATTATTAAGCCTGATAATTTTAATAGTTTGAAAAATCGTACTATATATATGTATATAGTACGATTATTCAAACTACTATACTATATGTTGGGTTACCAGAGCAAAAATCTGGTACATTCAAGTCTGAAAAATTTAATTTTAACTGCAACTTGTTGTCTCTGTTTTTTGACCGACTTCCCAAAAGAAGGAGGTACTCAATTCGTTTGTATGTTTTTTTACAAAAGAGAATGGCAAAGATGACAATATATTATGTGCTTCTACTATCGAAAGTCACTCTTGTAAGCCTGGAAAAAATTTCGTTATAATTCGCTTTAAATTGTATGAACGAATGATGAGTGTAACTAAATACGTAGCGCAGCCGCCCATTTTTGAATAAATAAATGTTTTATAATATTTTTGTTTATTATTTAAATACTATCTTACGCCCACGACTCCGTCTGCGTGAAATTAAATATAAACAAAAGTATAGTGCCTATGTGTTCTTCCATCTATGCTGAATTTCGTCGAGATACGTTCAGCAGTTTAGGCTACAAACTCTAACATCCATCCATTGAAACTTTCGCATTAATATTAGTAAGATAAGATGATCTAGAAGAGATAATATCATGATCCTAGGTGGCATAAACAACAACGTGTAACACGACATGTTTTGACCGCAAACTCTTGCGGTTAGTACAGTAATGGTTGAAAACCAATGGTTTAATGTAGGTTTCCGATTACATTCCTATAGCTATATCTATTTAAAAAAAAATAATCTAAACATCAATTATCATATTTTGCCAGAAACGTAATAGGTACATTTATATTTACAGATACAAACTCTTTTTTAAAAATCATCATAACAAAAAGTTTTTATCTGTAGGTAAAATTTCATTCAAGTTTTATGTTCTTTGTTTCTATACATATAATTAAAAAGTTATCATATAACATATAGTGCATAAGTAACAAACTTTCAAAACTTAACCCTAAAGTCATAACGAAGCTATGATTGGGTAAAGTTTAAGCTAGCAAGCGAACGTTAATTTTCTACTTAACTGTCAATAAAAAAACTTGTCGTCATTTTTCCTGAAGAAAAAGCGTTATTTTGTAATGAAATCTTTGAGTGAAAGTGAGTTGCAATGATAAAGGATGTTCTAAAAACCCCAGGGAAAATATGAAATTCATTAGTATATGGCATATTTTATTTAATAAACCCTACTAACCCCAATAAGCGCCTAAATGTCTTCACGGATACACATTTCATTTGTAGATGTCAAAACGCCTCCAAAGAGAGTATATTTTGTTCAAGCTAAAGTTAACATTCCATTGATTTTCAACTATATTCTCTAAACAATAAGACTGATTTTTGAATATTACTAGTATAACAGTCATTCCCAAGGGTAGCAGGTATATTACTGGCCGAAAAGAAAATCGTAATTTGCTGCGAAAATTGTGCAATTTAGATTTTATTTGTAAAATCAAAGGCGGGAAGATGTTAGATTATGTTTGAGTAATACATTTACTTCTGTACTTAGAGAAGGTGCACACCTTTGACTAAACAATCGCACAACGACTTTGTGATTGTCAATTGTTTCGCAGCCAAATCAATTATTTAGTTATACAAATAAAAATCGAGTAGCGGCACCTTCGGTAGAGGTAGAGTTAGAAAGAGATGGATGGATTGCGTGAAAGGTGACATGATCAAGAAGGGAGTGTTGTCTGAGATGACAGATAGAGTGCTTTGGAGGACGAAAACCCGTTGCGCCGACCTGACAGGAGTAGAATAAGGCAGGGGAGATGATGAGAAATCAAAGCGAGACTAAACAGTTATGCAATAGTTTATAGTTTTAAGTTTGCGCACGCTTAGATTAATCCGTATTCCATTTATCTCTGACTTTTCTCAAACTAACAAGTCGAAAGGTCCTTATAAAATGTGACTACAAAGAGCAATTCAAAACTGATGTACAGTAGCATCACAAAGGATTTCCTGTACAAAAAGATATAATTTAACTGTTAAAGTTTTATAAAAATTCTTAATGCTATAAATTACCTAGAACTTTATGCATAAAACCAACTTAAGTGACAAAGGCCACACAAAGCTCTGGACGTTCACACTTTCAAAAGAGAAATAAATTTAGTCATAAACATTAAGTTTCGCTGTTAAGTTTAAGTTGTAAATACTTACCCTAAGCTGTGTCAGTGTGCAAAATATACACTTACCTGAAATAAGAACAAAATTAAAAATATTTATCAAGAAGAAAATGGTTTAAGAATATTTTAAAGATATTCAGTATTTTTAGATTAATACGATAATATTATTATATTAATTTATTTATTTTATTTTACCTATCGTAATGGGCCATATGTAAGTAAATAACTTAATATCACGTAAGATATGGGTTTCTTCACACAACCGTATCACTTCAATCCCGTAAACGTAGCGCATGCAACTGTGCAAATATCGGGAGCTAAAACAACCCAACCATGGTAAGAAACCCGTATACGAACATTATCTTTGTAAAAAACAGGACAGTTTAAAGTTAAAAAAGGAATTAATTTCTACATTTAATCGAAAAAATACCTACCTTTGAAAATATTTTTTTTATTACCGATTTAACTAGTTTTTAGATTCAGCTTAAAACTTAAATACATAATTTTATAAGGATAATATTGAAAATAAAGGACACATGTGACAAAAGCAAAGTTTTCATGTATTCAAAACTACAAGAGAACATTTAAAGCTTAAAAGCATTCGCTTAAAATAACTTCAATAACAATTCGGACCCGCATATTTAACTAGCAAACATCAAAACTAAATTATGATCAAACTTTTACTAATATGAATTCAACGCTTTATAAGTTTTAACTGACTTGTATAAATCATACTAATATTATAAATGCGAAAATTTAGATTGATCTTTGTTAGAGTTTGTAGCCTAAACGACTGAGCGGATTTCGATGATAATTGGTATAGATGTAGAGGATAGTCCGGAAGAAAACATAGGCTACTCACTTTTATTAATTCCACGCGGACGGAGTCGCGGGCGAAAGCCAGTTATTCCATATACTAGCATTTATTTAATAGTATTTAAGCAGTTAGTAGGAAGTAAGAGCATCGGTGTCTCAGGAGTTTAAGCATTTGACTCGTAAGCCACAGATCCCGAGTACAAATCCCGCCATATGTACATAATTTACCCGACGTTCTTACGGTGAAGGAAAACATCGTGATGCCCACATATCGGCGAAGAAATTCAAAGATATGTGAAAGTCAAATCAAAAAAAATCAAAAAAAGTAAAGTCAATCAATCCGCACTTGGCCAGCGTGGTTGACTATGGCCTAGTCGCCTTACTTAGCACTTATGGTGCTGGTGAAGATGAAGTAGTAGGACTTTTTCAACTAATCAGCGTTTGTTCTGGTAATCTATGAACTGAAACAGCTGAATTATGGTCGATTATTAACGACGTTTACTAGATAACTGTTATTTTTAACGACACGCAAAAGTTGCTTGCAGTTTCAACAATTTTAGCCTGGTTCATTGAGGTTGGCTTTAATCTTAAGGGGCGTATTAACCATTGTTATGCGGTGCAACGTTACGAGGTGTAACATTAGCATCGAGAGGCTTGTTCGCTAGCTTACCTGTAACACTATTGGTTTTCATTTCCATATTAATGTTTTTTTTTGTGTTAAATATTATACAAGTTAGTAAAATACGTATATAATAAAACAGTTAATTACATGAGAAAGTTAATTCAACAGACCAACCGAATTAGTTAAAACTTAACTCTAAACGGGAAAGGTAAACATCGGTAAGTAGTGGAAGCTTAAATAGCTTTTCAGAGTTAACAAAGTTTGACTTAAATTTGCATAAGCTTACACGTTAAGTTATTCAACGATGATCATATGATTTTCTTTTTGTGTCCCATTTTCGAAGAAATATGTTTTACGTAAAGATGGCTTTTGTAATTAAAAAGAAACTTCATATAAAGGGTAATTCTGTTAAAGAAGATTTTCATTTATGATTAAATAATCTTTGTAAAAGATTGAACCAGTTTTAATACTTTTTAAAAGCTACATTTGTACAGAACACATTTTGATTTATTGCAAGATAGCACGAAAACACAGGATTTTCTAAAAAAATTGCTTTCGCCCGAGTCTCCGTCCTGTGTCTTGGAATTTAAAAAAAAAAAACAAAATTGAGTAGCCTATGTATTCTTCCAGACTGTATTTTACATCTATGTCAAGTTTAGGCTACAAACTCCAACAAACCCCTCCCATCTAGAGTTTGCCATTTATAATAATAGTAAGAAGTACAATTAGATATTTTTTTTATTTATGGAAATAAAAACACGCAGAAGATTATGATTTTTCCCTTATCCAGTGGATTTCTAACAACCCTTAAACATGTCTGTCAATTTTTTAGTAGCTAATAGACCCTTCAACGTATTTCTAGGTGGCTAAGAGCCAAGTACGCTTGAACCTCTTTACATATAGCAATTAACGTGAAGGGCTTACGCTAGGAACGGGCACTGCTTAGTAATTAGTTCATTAAAGTATTACCATACACGAATAGTTTTTATTTTACTAGCTGTTGCACCCGACTTCGTCCAAGTGGAAATAAAGAAATAGTAAAAAAAACTTATGTAACTCTATGATACACTACGTTTATTAATGGTCAAAGATTTTTTTGAAATCTGCCCATTTTTTTTAAGTTATTTCAATACATACAAAATCAAAAATTTAAATCATTCCACTTTATAATATACGACTTTGCTCGCTTGAAATTAAAAAAATAATAAAAAAGGAGCCTATATTACTTACAGCGTAGCTTTTTAATGATGAAAGAATTTTTGAAATCGACTTCGTAGTTTTTAAGTAGAAAAATCCAAAATCCAAATCTTTCCTCTTTATAATATACGTATAGATTATAAACAAAAATCTGATAGGATTTAATAACAATGGCCGGTTTCCCAGTTACATTTAACCATTCGTTAGTTTTTTGGTTCGATAAGATCATTAAATACGTTTCCGAATTATGTAACTTGAGTTTTAGTCCATTAAAACTCCAACCTAAAACTAATTAATCGTTGGGTAACGATTGAATAATAAGCTTCAGAAACCCACCACAAGTGTATTGACGATGGTTTTAGTTACCTCAAGCGCCAACGTCATACCGTCAATCTAACAGGCGAGCGAGGCGGTAGTGTGTGATACATGCGTGGTAGCCGATAAGCCGTAAATTTTTTTTGGTGCTGAAGGCCCAACTTTAGTCCCTTTTCCTTCCTGCCCTTTTTCTTATAAGATAAAGAGAAAAACGTGGACTTGACGCTGGAGGAGACGCATAGTAAGGGGAAATATCCTCTTTATGTGTTTACTCTTCCGTCGATTATGGGTAGGCAACACATCCGCTATTATC